TTTATATTATTTCATTTTACTGGATTTTGAACTCCTTATTATATTTTACTCCTCTTGGTATCCTGCACAACTCTTAGCAGAGGACTTGTTACGTGAACAAATACATACATTTGATTTTATTTCCTTCAGATCATCTTACATTTATTTAAAAAGTAGACTTTGATGTATACTTTGACATTTTCACTTATAAAATGATTTATGTGAGACTAACTTGAATAAAACAATTGAGTTAGATTACAAAGGTTTTATTTTGTTTTTTTTTGTGTTTTTTTTTTTTCAATTTCAAGTCAACACACATTTTAACTCACTGTACTTTTGGGATACCACTAATCGCTGTAACAAACAAATGTAAAAATGTTTTGTTGGCTTAACACAATAGACAATTGTTTTTGATCCTATTAATAGTCCAGTTCAGGTATTCCTAAATAACTTTCCCCCACAAGGTCATTAAGAAATACAGGTTCGTTCTTTCTTTTGGCTCCACCACCCCATAGGACTGTTAGAACTTGGGGGAAATGAAAATGGAGCAAACTCCTGGTTCCAGGTGAATAAATGATGTATTTGTCAACTTTAAAATGCCCATTACAACAGTTAGATAAGGTTAAATTATTGCTTAAGTAAGAAACCATCCCAGGCTGGTGGTGTGGTAGTCAAGGTGGCTGAATCCCACATGGCCAATTACAGAGTTCCAGATCTGGTGGCTTGAAAAGCGTGCCAGGCACATGTGCATACATACCTAAAATACTGAGAGAAGAATGGAGCTGGGATTATAGGTTGGCCATCTCCTTGAGGGACAGGGGTTGATTGCTCGCTCTCTCTCTCTCTCTCTCTCTCTCTTTCTTGTTTTGTCTTTCTCTAGTGAGCACATAAACCCTGGAGCAAATTAAAAAAAAAAAAGAATCAACCCCAAAATATCAGTGGCAGATGCAGGCAGGAAGTAGGGTTCTGCTGTAAAATGCTGGAGTCAAATGGAAAGACTTCCAAGGTTGATCTGAGCACATTGGGCACACCTTTTTCTGTCCGTGGGATCCTGGCTGGCTGACAGGAGGATCACAGTGAGATAAGACCCTGTCAGAGGTCATTGAAAAAAAAAAAGATAAAAAAAGTAAATCAGCTTTTAAAAATGTATCAGTGGTTCAAAACAACAAAGGTTTATTTCTTACTTGTACGCTATCTGTTCTGGATTGGCTGTGGCTCTATTATATTCCTTTGTATTCTCATACCCAAGCTTAAGGAGCAGTGCCTATCTGGAACGTGATGAGTCTCATGAAAGAAGGAAAAAGAAAATGGCTTTTTAAAAAAGTGGCATGTGAATCTTCTAGTACATTTCTATTTGGTCAAAATAAGTCATATATAGAAGCCTGGTATCAGTAGGATGGGGGATTATATTCATCCCATGGTGAGGGGTACTGCAAATTATATGGCCAAATCTGACATCAGTAGCACATGGATGTATAATTCTTCCACAGAAAGGAGCAGTGAGTATTTTGAATAATAATGTAGTCTACCACACTGCTTTTTATTTTACATTTTAACATTTAAAACACTGAAATATTTATTCAAATCAGAAGTTACTATTACATAGCAGAAATTTTTTTTATCTTTTTAGATATACAGAAAATAATGGTACATCCTACAATGAATTGCACCTTAGATTTAATGAAAGTTGGAAGGCTTCAATTCTAAATCTATTCATTTAACTCACCCTTGATTTCCAAGTATGTGGATATTTTTTATTTAAAGAGTAATATGAATTTTAAAAATAGATTTGAAGCCTATGTGGTTCTCTGATTTCTGACCATTAGTCTAAACGTATGTCAGGGAACTTATTTTCAGTCTGGAGTAGGGTTAGCATTAGAACAAATTTAGGAGAATTTGCAAAGGATAAAAGAAAAAAAAATACAAGTAATAAATGGAATAAAATAGAGAGCTTAGAAATAATCATGTATAAGGTAAGAATGGCACCACAAATGAATAGGAGAAAGAAATACTACTTAATATAGCTAGAATTGGGAAAGCTGGGTCACTATATAGAAAAAATTAAATTGTGTCAGTATCCTACACCAAATGAAAAGTGGATTCTAGATGGATTAAAGACCTAAAAAAGTTAGCACCAATAGAAAATAAGGTCTATTATTTACTGATATAAAATAAGGGAAGACTTCTTAAACAAGAGCAGAAAATACAAATCATAGTACAAAACTTATTGAATTTGACTACATCAAAACTAAGGATTTGGGGCCAGGCAGTGGTATGATGATTAATATCCCATGTGGCCTGCTGCTTGGTTTGAATTCTGAACCTTGTGACATGAAAAATGCACTGGGCACATGTGCATGCATACCCAAAATCCCAACAGGAGAATAGGAGATAAAGCATTGTGGCATGACCATCCTCCCTTGGGCGGGGAGGGTTTTCTCATTTTCTCTCTCTCCATCTGTCTGCATGAGTACATGTACTATGTAGCAAACTAAAAAACAAAAACAAAACTAAACAAAACACAACTAAGGATTTCTTGTCAGTGAAAAATGTCAAACATAATATCTCAAATGATAGATCACAATAAGGAATTTAAAACATCTAAAACCAGCAAGAAGTTTATACCTTCACTGTATAAGAATTCCTGTAAAAAATCATCAAGAAAAACACAAGAAATCTCAATGGAAAAAAGCTGAGCAACAAATGTAAATAAGAATTGTACAGAAAAAGTCCAAAAGACTAACAAGAATATGAACACAAGTTCATATTTACTTGTTATCAGATAAATGCAAATTAAAATAAAGGTCTATCACTCTGTACACAGACATAAGCCATTATCCTTAAGTTGGGTACATAATTCCATAGGTGTTTTATGCTGCTTAAAAATGAGACTGTTATGATTTTTTGTTTTAAAATTTTTGTACTACATGTTATTATAATGATATATCCTTAGAAAAATTTTTTGTGAGTGAGGGAAGGTATTTTTCTTCTAGAGCCTAAATGGACTAAAACATTGGGTCACCCAAACCTTCATTCCTGGTCTGGACCACTAGTTGTTCTCCAGGATCAGGTTGTTGTATTTTCCCATTGACCTAAATCATGGGACATGGTAATTCTATGAGACACCCTATAGAATCTCCTATAATCCAGGCATATTCTTCCTTATTCCATGGTGAAGTAGCAGTCCAATTTCCCCATGGTACTCCAGATCAATTACCCTATTCAGCACAGTAATTCCCTTATTTGTCTGCTAATTTATAGGCATAAAGAACCCTAAGTGGCTGGATGGCAGTCCTAATTTCAGTTAGTGGAATCATTGTTATGTCTCAACAATAAATGAATCACTGTTCCCTCTGGAACTGAGATCTACTGGCTAGCAGAGCATAAGGTCACCAGAAAAAGCAAAAAAATTGCTAGTGAGTCACTAGAAGTAATAATGAATAGTACCACTCCCATTTCCACCTTTTGATTCCTGCACCTGAGAATTTTGGCTATGGGAGAAACAGCACCGTATATTAGACACACTCAGAGCATACACAGCCTTCTGGAAAAACTTGCCCCAACTCTGCAGCTCTGCAAGGTATTGCCACTTAGATGGTGCTGCAGTTGAGTCTTCCAAAGACCATTCCACCATGTTAGAACAGCTGATTCAGGATGGTAGATAACCTAGTGAAGTCCATGGTTCTATGAGCTGAGCATTGATTATTGATTTCCTCAGAGTTAAGGTGCTCACACTCTTACATTTAAAAACCACTGAAATAAATTATTAGTTTTCAATAACATAAGCAATAATATTAGCATAGTATTTAAGAGTACAGACCATGGAGCCAGCAGGTGATGTGGTGGTTGAAACACATGGTCAACCACAGTTTCAGTTCCAGATCTGGCAATTTGCTTTCCTTCTCTCTTTCTGTCTCTTTCTGGTGAGTGCGTGTGCCTATAGTGAATTTAAAGATAATAATAATAATAATAAAATTAACTAAACAATTATTTTTAAAAAAGAGTATAGATCGTGGCTGCTCAGTAGAAATGTTATTCAAATCCCACATGCAAGC